TTCATCTTTACCCAAATGTTCTGTATATGCTTCCACCTTCACATTTTTAAATTTCCATATAGATAACACTTGACAACAGAACTATTTTATCTTTCAGCTTGTAACAAGTCTATTTCTTTTTAATATTGCCACATTCCAATGGCAAGTTTCACTGTGCTTGATGAAAATTAAGGAACTCAGTAATTTTGTGGATTGCAGCATTTCATCAGCTCATCTGTTTTTTTTTTGTTTTTGTAGAAGATTTGAATTAATCCCCAGAAAACTAGTCTAAACATCAAAACAGTCTAATATAGAATGGAAGTTCTTACTTTAAGAGATTTTACATTTGTGTATATGTAGAAAAAGGATAAAATGAAGTATGATACTTTTGAAATTCATAAAAATAGCCAAAGCGAGCACAATAGCTTTATTTTTAAGAGGAACAGCTTGGTGTCATGGAAAAGCACTGGCTCTCCTAAAGTTTTAAAATTCTGTGACTTAAAGCATAGGTATATTAAAAGTTTAAAAAGAAAAAGTGATTTTTTTTTACATCTGTAACTTCAGACCACAGCCTTTCCCTTAAATTTCTTTTCACTTCTTTGTAAAAAGCATGAATATTTTTAGTATACTGTCCTTGTACAAATCCTCCTTATAGGCTCAGATTTTCTCAGCAGTGACTAAAGCAGTTCAGCTGCTTCCAAGTTCTACATTTCATCTCCTATTGCACTGCCCTCCCCCCACCCCCTTCTTTGCAGCTGCTTTTGTTGGCAAAGCCCAGATCCTTTGATAGATTCCAATCCCATCACAGACCTTCAAAAGGAGGATTTAACCAAGCTCACCTGTTACTCGCTTTTCTAATGTCACAAGTCCTACATTGAAAATCTGACTGACTACAAAGTCCTTGTACACAGTAGTTAGGAATTATTTATAACATCCCCTGCATTGACGATACAAATTGCTTTTCCCCTGTTCTTTTGGATGTTTTTCATACAAGTGTTGGATGTCTTTAAGGCAATTGCTTATAGCTGGTTTTAGTCTTCAGCTGTTGGGACACCTACCCTGCATTTTCAAAATAACTGGTGTTATAAAATAAGAAATATTTCATGAATATTATACAACTGAAGATACAAGATACCATACACAGATGCCATTAAAAGAAAATTTTGAAGTTGTCTTCAGTTTAGGAAAACATATCCTCTATTTTCAACTTCTATTGCATTTATATATAGATTCTCATCAGCAATCAGTACAGTTTCCGTTTTGGTATATGCACCTGGTACATTGCTTCCTGTTATATGTTGCCAAAATAGTCTGTTATGTTCTCATCTCTACTATGTAAATTGAATGTTGACTTGTTTGCAGTCTGGGAAAAGAAAGTGCTCTAGAGTCGGTTTCACAAGAATAGACAGCTTTACAAAATGGTACCTCCTACTAGCCTTCCATTGCATTTGTATAAATCTGATTTTATCAGTTGTTAATTTTTTTCCTACCTCTTTGTAGTCTCAGTTTCAAACGAGTGACCCATTCTGGGTAGAGGGAGCAGCACAGGAAACATTTCACTTGACCCATGGCTAAGCAGCACTTAAGTATAAGTCTTGCAGTTCTTCAGTGTCCTACGATTCAAATTAATCATTAACACTTGACAACAGAACTATTTTATCTTTCAGCTTGTAACAAGTCTTTTTCTTTTTAATATTGCCACATTCCAATGGCAAGTTTCACTGTGCTTGATGAAAATTAAGGAACTTAGTAATTTTGTGGATTGCCTTCAGTTTAGGAAAACATATCAATATATATGGAGGATAAAACTGGAGGATATATGTAATCAATATATATTGATTACATATATCCTCCAGTTTTATCTTTTTTCATTCAGATTCATGTAAGTTAAAACTTCATTTACTATCTGGGTGCAGTGGCCCACACCTGTAGTCCTAGCTACTCAGAGGGCTGAGGCAGGAGGATTGTTTGAGACCCTTGTCTCAAAAAAAAAAAAAAAAAAAAAACTTCATTTACTAGAAGCCCAGAAATGGAATTCATTTTAATTTCAAGCCTTTTAAGAAATAAATATTTCCTTTGAATAAGAAAAGCTAAGAATCTAAAGGATAGATGATTAGTGAAAATAGAGTGGGTAGAGTTTGATAAATTCCTTTTTAGGAGGGCTGATTTATTCCAGCAAAATGTTATGTGTATATATGTGTATATGTGAATGTATAGCATAAATATATAGTATTTTATTAAAAGGGCATTTGTTACAGAGTCCATATACTTCTGTAATAAAGGTACCCAAACTATTGACCTGTTGCTTCTTTTTTCCCTTTCTGGGCTCACCTTCATCCCAAAGTAACATGCTACAAGAGCAAATATGTCAATGAACTGAGTACCTTTGAACAGTCCATAAGTACCATTTATAAACTAATGTATGCCAGATGTAATGGCCATTAGTATTCAGTAAGCTGGATGAAGTTGCCAAATCATGTTTAAATAGTGAATTAAAACCAAACATTGGACTGAAGAGAAAGCACATAYAAACCAAAGCTTACTATAGAGATAGGATGGTGATTTCAAGAGAAGAGATAAGATGCAGTGTACTCAGTGAATTTTGACTGATACCTATTATGTGCCAAGCACTGTTCTAGCTGATAAGTGGTAATACAGGGCTGAAAGACAGGTAGACACAATTTGTGCCCAGAAGACTTGTTGCAACATGTATAACTATACTTAACAGTTGTAATAAATGCTTTGTTAGAGCTATGTACAGGCAWTACTTAATTCAGCCTGAAACTGTCAAGAATGGCTTCCATAGAAAGAGGTGAATTGAGGCTGTGTCCTAATGAGTAAGAGAGCATTCTAGAGACAACAGAAGAGGTAAAGAAGTAAAAGGATATATGCCCTGAGGGTTAAAAGAACAGACTACTTAGGTCATCTCACTTATTTGCCTCATCCTTATTTTAATCACATTTATGCCTTGATCTGGTTTGTATTTTAACAAAAATAACCCTAGTAATACAAAGAACATATTATTAATGGGGAAGGAGAGTCATCAAGATTTAGGTAAACAGGGATAAGACCCACATTAAGACAAATACACAGTGGTTAAAGTTGAGATATTCAAGAAATATGTTAGGAGTAAACTTGAAGGAGTTTGGTGATTACTGGGATATAGAGGTGGGCCAAGAACAGAGTATAAGGTGACTCAGGTGTTCAAACAAAAAATGTGGCGTTTGATGCCTTTTGTTCTGTGAGGAATGTAGGGAGAAATTAATGGTACGGGCAAGAAGACAGGACTTGAGACAGGTTGAGGGTGAGTTGTCTATGGCACTTTCAAATGGAAATGTGTGGGTACAAGATGATAGGTTACAGTGTGAGCTAGAGAATGAGTGAAGAGCTGGACACCACGGTGCATGCCAGTAATCCCAGTCACTCTGGAGGCTAAATCAGGAGGTAGCAAGTTTAAGGCCAGCTTGAGCAACTTAGTGAGACCCTGTCTCAAAAAAAAAAAAGGGGGGGGGTGCAGCTGAGTGCCTCTGTGTTTGATCCCTAGTATCTTTCCCACCCCGCAATGTATGAAGAAGACAGCAGAAGATAATATCCAGGAGTTCCCTAAGATTTCAGAATCTGGAAAGAAAAGTCCATGAAAAGAATGAGAAAGTAAGCAGCTAGGGAAGTAGGAAGAAAATCCACAATGGGGCCCCTTGGAAGCCAGAGGAGGACAAATAATTTTTCAAAAATTTCTTCCATTCTTCTAATTTAAAAYACACACACACATATATGATTTTTAAAAATCAGATTACCTGCCCAACTTTACATAAATGGAATATTTTTCAGATGCAACAGTGATTCTAATGGCCTAGTATAAGAAAGTGTATTGATGATACCCAGGCTTACTGAATCCCACAGACTTAAGAAATGAACAGATTTTAGGTTCAGAGTAGTGAATGGTATCTCTACAACTGTGGGAGCCGTTTTTAGTTTGAAGATGGTTTATATATTAAAATTTTAAAATTTAATTTTTAAAAAATAATAAAATAATTCTGTTCCTCTGAGAGTTAAACAAATGATCTCATTAGAACAAAGACTTGGCCTGACACTGCATTTGCTTTCATGTATAAGCAAGTGACATTGGTGTGTCAGCACAGAGTTGGTACTCAGTGATAGAAAAGTTGATGGTGATAGAGGGGAATTTGTGTAAAACTCTGCAGTAACAGCTAAAACACATTGGGCACTCACTTTCCCCTTGGATCCTGTAACTTTGTTATTCCAAGTGTGTTAGACCCAGCAGCAGCACCTGGGAACTTGCTAGACCTGCAGGCCCACCCCCAGAACTCCTGAACCAGAATCTGCAGTTTAATAAGGTCCTCATGTGATTCCTATTCACATTAAAGTTTGAGAAGCACCATTCTAAGGCCTAAGTAGTGCTTTAGCGACTGTGTGTTCTGGCTTTTTACCATTTCAGTCTTTAGAACAGCAAGTTTTATTGGAAGTAGGTATTGTACTTACTGGTTGGTATTCTCTTTTCCCAAGAGGGTGGATAGAGAGATCAGATGTGTAGATTTCTGGAGTCAGTTTGCCTGCTTTCAAATCCTACCTCTGTCATTTATGCCTAATCTCTCCATTTGTGGAGTGCAATTATGGTGAGCAAAGGTGTATTACCTCCACCACCTCATCTGTCTCCACTGGACATATAGTTRAGGTATAGATAAACCTTTGGGGTAGCTGGGTATACAGATATGTGTGTACTTGTCATCAGTGCTATTTGCTTCATGCATTCTTGGTCCTAGCTGAACCATCAATTGTTAAAAATTTAGGTGATGTTTGGAAAATTTTGCATCTTTATCTAGTAAAGAAATGTTTTTTAAAAATGGATCATAAGAGATGTTTCAGCTTCATTGAAAAAAGTCTACAAGTAGATAAATTTAAGAGTGAAGGGAACTCTCATTAAATTATATCCTACTAAGGAATAGTAGAAAAATTTTACTGGGAGGGCTTACAGACCATTGCTGTGACCTTGTTTCCTACAGGGGGCAGCAGGCATTTTATGCTATGTGGGAGCCTATGTCTTCATCACTTACGACGACTATGACCACTTCTTTGAAGATGTGTACACTCTCATACCTGCTGTAGTGWTCATAGCAGTAGGAGCCCTGCTTTTCATCATTGGGCTAATTGGCTGCTGTGCCACAATCCGGGAAAGTCGTTGCGGACTTGCCACAGTAAGTTAACACTTAATTAACTACATGTGTCATCAGAGCATGCAGGAGTATTTCATCTCCGTTAACTCTCTTGCATTGAGCTTGAAATTGAGCTTGATTCTTCTAATTGGAACAGAATTAGCACTTGTCTTAAACTTCTAGCTGTTGTCTCTGATAATTGCTTTCTGTCAAGAGACTATTTAGAACTACTTTGTACTTAATTTTTGACAATGTCTCCCTACAGTTTGTCATCATCCTGCTCTTGGTTTTCGTCACAGAAGTTGTTGTAGTGGTTTTRGGATACGTTTACAGAGCAAAGGTATGTTGTCTGCTGTGATTCATGCTTTAAAAGGTGATTTAAATTTTTTTTTTCCAAGAAGTAGTCATTTTACTAGAGTTAACATCTTCTGCCTTATTTCAGTGAAGGTAATGCTTTAAATATCTAAAGTTAATTAGAAATTATTTTTATATCATGATATCTATATATAGAGTATAAATTTTTGATTACATTTAATTTTCTTTAAATTATCACCTAMTGTGGCAAGATGTAGTGGTGGTGCACACCTGTAATGCCAACTGTGCAGGAGGCTGAGGCAGAAGGATCACAAGTTTGAGAGGTCAAAGGCCATTTTGGGCAGTTTAGCAAGACCCTGTCTCAAAATATGAAAAGGAGTGGAATATAGCTCAGTAGTACTGAGTTCCCCTGGGTTCAAGGCCCAACACACACACACACACAAAAAAAAAAATCTTACAGCAAGCTACAAATGAATATTTGATCAGCTGACAAGTTTATTACTATTTCCTTAGCCCAGAGAGATCCTGTGTTTTGAATGGCAGGGTTGTAATACATTTTCTGTTTTTCTGAGTATCTCATTTTTCATTGCCTTTTTTTAAGAATCCCTTGGGTCTGGACATAGAAGATATTTTGAGTGTGGTCCTACCTTTTACGCTCTTCCTGAAGAACACAGGGTCTTGCCTTTTAGAACACTAAGACAGCTGTTGTCAGCACTCCTTCTTGCCCCTGTCTTCTCTTAGTTATTCCCTTTGTTTCCCCTGTTTTGTTGTTTTTGCTTTCTACTAACAGTACCACTTAAGACTACATAAGCTACTTTAGTTAATTTTGATATAATTTTAGAGCCATGRTGTAATAGAATCATTCTTACTGTCATTTACAGTTTTAAGTCAAAGACATGGTATGTCAAGTTGATATTTAAACCATTGATACCTAAGAAAGGTACTAAGCAACTGTAACAAGAAAAAAAAAATCACAATGAATCATGTCCCTATGATCTAATTATTAGTCTTGTTACATCACAGTTATAATTACAAAATAGGTTTAAACAATTTAGAAAGGGGTAAAGAAATTCTGATACAAAAAAAATATTAAATGACACCTACCTGCCACTGTTGTAATTGTCAGCAATAAGTTTTGAAGTTTGCTTCTCATCTCTTCTTTGACATACATTGGACAGCAGCTTTTTCATAAAGTACCATTCCTGAGGACCGAATTTTTTTTTTTTTTTTTTTTTTTTTTTTTTTACTTCTTGATTACTTATGTGCGTTTGGCTCAGCCAGGTCTGAACATTGAGTAAGTAAAATAGAAATAATGTTGGTATTTGTCCTAGAAATATGTTACAGAGGCTTCAAATTTGGTTTTTGCCTCCTTTGCATTGATCTGGGGATATAACTTGGGTAGAATGCTTGCCTAGCAGGCATAGGTCCTGAGTTCAATCCCTAGGACCACCAAAATTTTAAAAAAAAAAAAAAAAAAAAAGGAAGGCATGTATTTATAGAAAATCAATCACTTTCTCCTTGAACGGACTGTTGGAGTTATTAGCTTGCCATGTTTCACAGTCTTTGAATGCTTTTAATCTATGTACTGTGATATTTTTGAACCTTTTCCTTCCAATTAAAATCTATGTGGAGGCAGCAAGGAGAAAACTCTTTCAAGAAATTTATGGAGAGCTGTGACARTTTACAAATGTGCCATTTAGGTATTTTAGTGAAACCTTGACTAATGGTACCTTTAACATTATCTTTGAGGGACTGAATTCTTTGTTTTAATTCAGGTGGAAAATGAGGTTGACCGCCGCATTCAGAAAGTTTATAAAACCTACAATGGAACCAATCCTGATGCTGCTAGCAGGGCTATTGATTATGTACAGAGACAGGTGAGCTTTCTTGAGGCAAATTTGTTTTTGAGGACCACTCACTAATGGGTTAGCATTAAACTACTTCTGCAACTACTGTGTAAATTRGCCATGTGTCTTCACACCCATGATTAACCACCCAATGTATTCAATCTTTTTCTTTGACCTTCATCCTTGAAAAGTTTACTCCACTGCCATCTAGTCAAAGCCAGCAAGAAGCATCTTAAACTCTTTAGTAATCTGACTTCCCCCACCCCCCTGCCAAAATATACAGGTGATGATGGAAGAGAAGTAGATATCACAGGGAGATGGAAAGACTAAGTATGTCTTTAGAAAACAAGATCAGAAAAGATWACAGGGCTGGGGTTATGGCTCAGTGGTAGAGTGCTTGCCTAGTATATGTGAGGCACTGGGTTCAATTCTCAGTATCATGCATAAATAAATAAAATTAAGGTCCATCTACAACTAAAAAAAAATTTTAAAAAAGATAACAGACAAAACTATAAAATAGTAAGATTTTAATACTTATAACCCTGCCTCAAAAATTATCAGCTTTTTAATCAATCTTATCTACACATATTTTATGCTTTATTATCTTAAATCACAACATTTCAGAACAAAAATGACCAGTAATACAAATTATATCTCAATAATAAYCCTAAATGTTAATGGCTTAAACTCACCAATCAAAAGACATAGGCTGGTAGACTGGAGTTTTAAAAAAGACCCAACAATATGCTGCGTTCAAGAGATTCATCTCATAGAAAAAGATGCCCACAGACTGAAGGTGAAAGGTTGGGATAAAATATACCACTCGTATGATCTATGTAAGCAAGCAGGGGTTTCCATCCTCATATCAGATAAAGTAGACTTCAAGCCAAAGTTAATCAAAAGGGATAAATATGGACATTTCATACTGCTTAAGGGAACCATACATCAACAAGACAAAACAGTTATAAATATATATGCCCCAAACAGTGGAGCATCTATGTTCATCAAACTCTTCTCAAGTTCAAGAGTCAAATAGATCACAACACAATAATTCTGGGTGACTTTAATACACCTCTTTCACCACTAGATCTTCCAAACAAAGCTAAACAAAGAAACTAAAGAACTCAATAGTACAATCAATAACTTATACTTAACTGATATATATGGTATATTATCCATCAATGAGCGAATACACTTTTTTCTGAGCAGCACATGGATCCTTCTCTAAAATAGACCATATGTTATGCCACAAARCAAATTTTAGCAAATATGAAAAAGTAGAGATACTACCCTGCATTCTGTCAGACCACAATGGAATGAAATTAGAAATCAATGATAAAATAAATAAAAGCTACTCCAGCACCTGGAGACTAAATAATATACTATTGAATGAACAAGGGGTTGCAAAAGATATCAAGGAAGAGATTAAAACATTCTCAGAGGTAAATGAGAACACCGATACAATATATTGAAATCTCTGGGACACTGTGAAGGCAATTCTGAGAGGAAAGTTCATTGCATGTTCATTCCTTTAAAGAAGAAAAAGTTAACAAATAAATTACCTAACATTACATCTCAAAGCCCTAGAAAGAAGAACAAATCAACCCCAAAAGCAGTACCGAGACAGAAAATAATTAAAGTCAGAGCTGAAATCCATGAAATTGAAACAAAAGAAACAATTGAAAAAAATTGACAAAACAGAAAGTTGGCTCTTTGAAAAAATAAATAAAATTGGTAAATCATTAGCCATGCTAATGAAGAGAAGGAGAGAGAAAACGCAAATTACTAACATCTGTGATGAAAAAGGAAATATTACGATGAACGCTACAGAAATACAGGATAATTAGAAATTATTTTGTAAATTTGTACTTCAATAAAATAGAAAATATTGAAGGCATCGGCAAATTTCTAGAGGCATATGATATGCCCAAACTAAATCAGAATGATATACACAATTTAAAACAGTAATTTCAAGCAAGGAAATAGAGGATGCCRTCAGAAGCCTACCAACCAAGAAAATGCCAGGACTAGATGGATACACAACTGAGTTCCAAGTCCTTTAAAGAAGAACTAACACCAATACTTCTCAAACTAGTTTATGAAATAGAAAAAGAGGGAACACTTCCAAACATATTTATGAGTCCAGTATCACTCTGAT